GTGTAATGCACATAGCCCCCACACCTGTGGGAAGAGCACTGGGACTGGAAGTGTCCGCTTCCTTGACACTGGTGACAATGAGGTTCTGTAGACACTGTTGCCAGGCAATTTGTCAATTTGGGCAATGGGCTCTGTAATGCCCATTGCCCCCACACCTGTGGGAACAGCACTGGGACTGGAAGTGTCCGCTTCCTTGACACTGGTGACAATGAGGTTCTGTAGACACTGTTGCCAGGCAATTTGTCAATTTGGGCAATGGGCTCTGTAATGCCCATTGCCCCCACACCTGTGGGAACAGCACTGGGACTGGAAGTGTCCGCTTCCTTGACACTGGTGACAATGAGGTTCTGTAGACACTGTTGCCAGGCAATTTGTCAATTTGGGCAATGGGCTCTGTAATGCCCATTGCCCCCACACCTGTGGGAACAGCACTGGGACTGGAAGTGTCCGCTTCCTTGACACTGGTGACAATGAGGTTCTGTAGACACTGTTGCCAGGCAATTTGTCAATTTGGGCAATGGGCTCTGTAATGCCCATTGCCCCCACACCTGTGGGAACAGCACTGGGACTGGAAGTGTCCGCTTCCTTGACACTGGTGACAATGAGGTTCTGTAGACACTGTTGCCAGGCAATTTGTCAATTTGGGCAATGGGCTCTGTAATGCCCATTGCCCCCACACCTGTGGGAACAGCACTGGGACTGGAAGTGTCCGCTTCCTTGACACTGGTGACAATGAGGTTCTGTAGACACTGTTGCCAGGCAATTTGTCAATTTGGGCAATGGGCTCTGTAATGCCCATTGCCCCCACACCTGTGGGAACAGCACTGGGACTGGAAGTGTCCGCTTCCTTGACACTGGTGGCAATGAGGTTCTGTTGATGATGGTGATAAAGTTATTAGCAAATCATTATTGTTGATGTAATAATTTCGATGAAAGGCTCTTAGTACTAACGTTTGGTTGACAGATGATCTCTGAGATCACCTGTTGACCTCCCAACGTTCATCTCTTTAATTCCACCTCCTCCTCTCTCCACCAGCTGTTCTCTTCTCCTCCTCTCCTCTCCACCTGTTTTCTCCTTCTCTTACTCCTGATCCTCTTTCCTTCTCCTTCCACATCCCCACTCCTTCCTCTCTCATCCCTCAATCTTTCTTTCCTCACCTCCTCTGAGACGGTTTCTCTCTAAGAGCATGATATTCTAAAGTGAAAAAACATATACCATAAAATCTTAGATGAAAGCATAGCGGAAATAAGAAAAACTTTACCTCAAGCGAATTTTGCAGGCAGCATATCAACAATGCTGGATTTTATCAATTCTTTTTGCCCTTTTATTTTCCAAAGTGCCTTGTTATTTGTTCATTTCAAGTTCACTTTTTCTCAAATCTCACAAAACCACCTAAGAAATTACTTTAGCTCTTTCAATTGGTTATCACCTTGAAAAGGCAATTTTGACATATAAAAAACATCCTTTCACAGTTTGTAGACTGTAACATTGCATCAAATGCTACCTTTTGAGATAACAAAAAGAAAATTGAGTCCAGGTAAAAACCCAACTCCACAATTCACTTCCATTGTTTACAATCTGACATGAAAGACAAGCCATGGGAATTGTTAGAGTTCATTGGCTGATTGATTTAATATAATTACCGTATGTAGATAGTGGTGGCTGTGGACACTTCTTTAGTTGAAAATTAATTCTTTTCCAGCAGAGGCAATGAAATGATGTTGGTAATCGATGACAATGCTACATTGTATTTGATTCATCAATTGTCATCAAGTATGGTTATAATTGATGACAATCAATTCTCACAAAAACCTGTGTGACCGATTTCCCATGAATTACCAATAACAATGGATTCAGAGTACTATTATATTAGTTACAACTTACACAAACAAGTGTTCAGGCATTGTCACATGAAATCTGCTGAGTATGGTTAGCCATTTGATTCCTATAAGTGACCAAGACAGAATTTCTCCTTACAAAACCAATACAATATTGAGCAGACTAGGGAGAAGGAAGAAAATTACTAATTAGGACTGAGATTTTTATTTGCTCAAATACTAAATTCTCCAAACCAACATGAGCAGAACTGTATAGAAAACAGTAAGGAGAATTACTACCGGTAATGAGATCTTAGGAGTGAAAGGGTTAAGTTGTAATCATCTCATTTGAAGTTCAATTATGAGACCTACAGCTGTACACTTTGACTTAACCTTTGTTTCAAGATAAAACAGAACTAAATTAATTTTGCAAGACATTTCCCTACAATTAATGTTTTAATGGACACTAATATCAATACTATACATGGTTGAGTTGTTTCTTTATACATGTAGTAAATGTAAACATTAAAATGCTTTATGCATGGAAGACTTTTTGTTTAGAGTCTCTGCATTTGTTTTAGGAACATATTCAAAGGTGTGTCACACAAGATTGCAACACTTTGTGGAAGCAGTTTGGAAGTCTATGAAGCTCACTCTAGTAAGTATCTCATAGAAGGATAGCTACACCGTACAACTTTTGGTAGATATTTCTCAAACTCATTAATAATTCATCAACTTACAAACCAATCAGGATACGCCAATTTGGCCACTTGTGTGCGTTTAGAAACCCTGATGAAACACTGGACAGAGGCTTTTCCACTATACTTTGATGAAATCTCAAACCCTAGAGCTTGATAAAATGTCAAACCCCACAATGACGATCCCCAGGGACTTGTGACACTGCTAAAATATTTGACAACAAAGGCCAATAATTACTGAAGAACAATAGCAAAAAAGTAATGATGCACGATTGAGAAGCAACTTAAAAAACTCGTGCTTTGTGTTTCATCAGGGTTTTCAAACACTCGAAAACAATAAAAGCACTCAGCCTACGGCCTCGTGCTTTCATCAGTTTTCTCACATTTGGAAACTCCAATGAAACACTCGCACTCGTTTTTGAAATATTACTTGACGCATTTTTCTGAAAAGTTTTGCATTTACTTATGAGAATAGTGGGCTACTGACAGTAAGCTTCATTTCAATGTTCCTCACTTGTTACAGCAATCCATTGATTACATGAGTATCCTAAGTTTAAACCCGTGTCAATTCATTCCTTTTCCTTGATTAGAGTATTGAATCATTGACAAACTTTACATATGCCATTTGGAAGTTATCTGATTTTGAGCTCTGATATTGTTTGTAGTGGTACAGGAGGACACCAGGGTAGTGTACTGTAACATTTGTTATAAAAGCTTAATTACCAAACTTACATCTAAGGGCTGATGAAAATAAAACAATGTGCATCTAGACACTGTTTCAGAAAAATTGATGCTTGGAAAATGTGTCTCCCCTTTTTCCAGCTTAATTGTGTAGTATTATATTTGAAAACCAAACTGCCCCTGTAGAAGTTTTGGCAAATTATGGGTAACTTGGGCACAACCTATTACATGATTGTTTTGTAGGTTATCTACCCATGTCTGTTGTTTGTGAAGGGACTTGTACTCGGCCTTCAATTGCAGACCTACTGGAGGGGCTCTGTGACTTGAACAGAATACACTATGAATTGTATCTTTTGAAAATTTTGGTATTATGTGTTGTTGCTTGTCTACGTCCCCCTTGGAAACCTGTAGTGTGATGATGATGATGGTGATAGTTTATTAACACTTCTGGCAGTTAAAAAACTGTATAGACAGTGTAATTTTACAAGGATATTAAAAAGAATCTTACTAGATACCAATAATAAAGTCTATTTACAATAATAAGTCTTAAGAATTAGAATAATTGTAGTAAGTATACATTACAATAATAGGTAAGTCTACGAATACCTAAAAGTAAAAAAGTCATTTGCTCTTCTTGTTCTTTTCATTGTTGTTGTGGCTTTGGTATTTCCTGATCTTAAAGTGCACCTAAACCCAAAAATTTTTTTTCGCTTAACGAAATAAGCGTATTTTTTGGAGTATTTCTGTGCAAACATTTTTTTATTTGCTCAAATCTTCAATTGTCTGTGCCCAGTCAAAATACGGAAAATCGGCCGCCATCTTGCCCCACGGCCGAGTTTAAAGAGGAATGGCTCTAGCGGGTAATGTGACGTCAAATCGAGAACACGAAAGTCTGCATTTCACACATTTTCGCTTGTTTAGGAAGGTTGTAGTCGATTTTGTCCGAAAATATGCCGACTAAGTGTGTTATAGGAGGATGTAGCAACGTGCGAAATTTGCAAGAGGGTATCACGCTTCATACATTCCTCATACAATACACCTGGTCGGCATATTTCGGACAATATCGACCACAACCTTCCCAAACAAGTGAAAATGTGTGAAAAGCAGACTTTCGTGTTCTCGATTTGACGTCACATTATCCGCTAGAGCCATTCCTCTTTAAACTCGGTCGTGGGGCAAGATGGCGGCCGATTTTCCGTATTTTGACTGGGCACAGACAATTGAAGATTTGAGCAAATAAAAAAATGTTTGCACAGAAATACTCCAAAAAATACGCTTATTTCGTTAAGCGAAAAAAAATTTTTGGGTTTAGGTGCACTTTAACTGATAAGGTATGGAACTTGTCATAGCTTGTTGAGCCAAGATAGACATGGGGTGGTCTTCATTCCTCATTTCTGCCATCAACTTTTTACAAACGAATATCCTACGATCTACCAACAATGACAATTTTGCCTGGTCTAGGGCTTGTTGATAACTAAAATTTGGGAATATAATTTTTAAGGCTCTTTTTTGTATGGATTCGGTAGGATCAGAGAGGTATGCGGGAATGTCTTGCCACACCTTCACAGCATACTCTAGGACCGATCTGATATTACAAGTGTATACCTTAAGCATGTCTTCTGGCATAACTCCTGCACGTTTCAACAACCTTAGAGCATATAATTTCTTAGCTGCCTTGGGTGGGTTACTCATAGACCTGTATACAATATTAATCAGGTTTATGTTTATTAGTGCCAACTTTGATCAGCTTTTTAAAAGAGGATTTGTTATTTTTTGAAGGATTTTTGTGGTAATGAATAAAGAGTACCCCTGGTACTATTTGGGTTGATACTGAGCCTTAAATTGTGATTGCTTTGACTAACACCATTGCTGAAAAGAAGCTATAGGAAGGCTTGTGTAATATCCTTTCTCAGAGAATATTTGAAAAACCTTGTTGGCTGTTATCTCAAAGTTAGTGAAGACCACTTTGCATCATAGTCGAAGTTATTGAAAGTTGCCTCAGTCTGAAAATGATGTAAAGAAAAGTTATTCAAATTATATAGTACTGTTTATAGGAAATAAATTATGCGTATCATTTTTGTCAATTTCTGTATAACTATTCTGAAGCTTGTCACTTACTCTACTGCGATGTTCATACATCTAAATGATACTACAGGTAGTAATCCAACAATACAATCAAGTTGTTGGTTTTCCACACTGTTAGAATCAAGTTGCAACTTAATTGTTCAGTAATTAAAGGTAGAAATTAGTAATAAGGAAACATAAAGGTAAATATGTTAGACGTAATAACTGGGATGATATTTTTTGTAATCAAGACAATCTGGTCAGTTTTCTTGACCTAAAAATGAAGATATCAGGACAAAGTTGACATTTTGGGGAGAATAACATACACAGCACCAATGACAAACGTGTACAAGGCCATCAGGGAATGGACTTCCATACAAGACAGGAATGCTTACAAGATAAGGGGTATGGATTCTTTAACTCAACAGGCAGGATGGAGGGATATTCTCACAGAACTGTGTACTTCTTACTATTAATTCTTACACTTTCCTTACATGCCCTACTTTCGTTTTGCTTTATTATTGTAAATTTGAACAAAACGTTTTGAAATTTTGGCAAGTTGATTCAGTGTGTGAGGCATTTCTTTCAAGGTTGCATGACATTTTGACTGCACTCCACTGTTCGGCTGAATCAGTTATAAATATTTTTTATATCCTTTCTGGGATCAGTGAGAGGTTGTTGATGTGCACATAATGCAATTTCACCCCAATTTTAATTTTTTAGATTTTATATGGTTCATAACACCAGTACCTTCCATGCTCCAAGACCAAAGCTTTTTGTCATTCAAATAAGTTCAAGATGATTGTATGTGACTTTCAAAGTCAGACCTGTGTGTGGCTGATTCCCCTCTTTCAGAACCCTAATCATGATTGGTGCTTACACCGAGCGTGAGGTGCATCATTTCCATTACCAAGTGTTGCTGGGTGCAATATGATGCATGTGAAGTTACACTCTACCAAACTCTCCTTTAAGTAGTATACAATCAGGGGCGTAGCCAGGATTTTTCAAAGGGGGGGTCACAGAGGCTACTCACCAGATTGTCATGTCGACCTCCACGCATTGCATGTTTTACTTAATGTTACAGTTTTGGGATGAGCAGTGAGAGTATAGTGGGCAGGCCAAGATATTGTTATGGCGTTTTCACCACCTGAATATTGTAGGTTGTTTGGTCAAAAGAAGGCCTACCAAGGGGGGGGGGGGACACGGGCACCCCAGGACCCCCCTAGCTACGCCCTTGACATTACAACATCCTCACTTTGAAAATAACTCATGAATCTTTTTTCTCACCCTCATCCCATTTATGTCTGCATTATTAGATATCATGGAGCCGGTGGCAGTATTCCTTGCAAGTAGAGGTGGAGAGCAAAACGTTTAGACATCAGAGCTATACGCACGTGTTGTGAGAGCGACAGTCATTTCGTCAACGGTTTTCGTCCCTTCCTTGACACTGCACACAGCTGGACGTCAAACAGAGTTGCATGCATTTGGCAATAAGGAACGAACACTTCTGTTCAAGGGATAAAACACAGAGATGCGTGTATGTGGCAATGAGGCAAGAACACTTCCGTTCAAGGGATAAAACACAATAGATTAATTCTTTACTTACTCTCTTTGAAACTTTCTCCTTTGGCCGCAAAATATCGCTCATTGTAAACTACATTCACGTTTGAAGTATTCGACATGGGCTGACTACATGGATCA